CTTATAGCAGAATCTTCAAACAAAAACCGATGTCTGGAGCCCCGACTGCGACGCGGAAAAACACCCCGCGCGCAGGAACTCCGAGGATGTCTCGCGCGTGTGCGTCCCGCGCGCAGGAATTTCGAGGATGTCTCGCCTAATTCGCTTGTTTTTCTAGGATTTACTGTGATTTTGACAGGATGTCTAGAGCGAAATGTTTGTTTTTTTATTATTTGTTGAGGATGTCTCGAGCGAAACGCTGGCTTTGCAAAATTGGGGGATGTCTCGAGCGGGGCCCTCGTGGGGGGGGCCAGAATTCAAAGGATGTCTCAGGCAAGATGCTTGTTTTCACGTCCCGCTCGCAGGAATTCCGTGTCTCGCGCGTGCCGCGTCCCGCGCGCAGGAATTTGGAGGATGTCTCGACTAATTCGTTTGTTTTGCCATGATTTCCTGTGATTTTGACAGGATGTCTAGAGCGAAATGTTTGTTTTTTTATTATTTGTTGAGGATGTCTCGAGCGAAACGCTGGCTTTGCAAAATTGGGGGATGTCTCGAGCGGGGCCCTCGTGGGGGGGGCCAGAATTCAAAGGATGTCTCAGGCAAGATGCTTGTTTTCACGTCCCGTTCGCAGGAATTTGGAGGATGTCTCGCGCGTGCCGCGTCCCGCGCGCAGGAATTTGGAGGATGTCTTGACTAATTCGTTTGTTTTGCAAGGATCCCTTGAGATTTTGACAGGATGTCTCGAGCGAGAAGTTTGTTTTTTCTATAATTTGTTGAGGATGTCTCGAGCGAAACGCTGGTTTTGCAAAATTGGGGGATGTCTCGAGCGGGGGTCTCGTGCAGGGCCAGAATTCAGATGATGTCTTAGGCAAAATGCTTCTTTTCACGTCCCGCTCGCAGGAATTCCGAGGATGTCTCGCGCGTGCCGCGTCCCGCGCGCAGGAATTTGGACCAGGATTTCCTTGGATATGACAGAATGTCTCGAGCGAAACGCTTGTCCCCAGCACGTTCCGTAGCGCGTCCCCTTGGCACGTCCCGCGGTGCGTCCCCATGGCACGTCCCTTGGCACGTCGCTTGGCGCGCTCCTTGAGACGTTCCGCGTCGCGTCCTCCTGGCATGTTCCCCTGTCAATTAGCTCTGGGGCAGCTACTGCGTGCTCAGGCAGCTCGAGCTTAAGATCCAGATCAGTTCGGTCAGGACTCGGATGCAAAGGAGGACTCGATACACGAGGCTATAGAGCACAATCGCGGCATGGCACATCGCAATTCAGCACGGCGCAGCACAGCACAGATTTCGGCACGGTACATCAAGAGCGATACACTCAGCATTGCAACCTGGCACCTTCCTTGGCACGTTACGTGGGGCGTCCCTTGGCGAATCCCCCTGGCACGTCGCTCGGCGCGTCCCCTGGCACATCCGGTGGCACATCCATGGGCACGTTCCGTAGCGCGTCCCCTTGGCACGTCCCGCGGTGCGACCCCATGGCACGTCCCCTGGCACGTCGCCTGGCGCATCCCTTGGGACGTTTCGCGGCGCGTCCTCCTGGCATGTTCCCCTGTCCATTAGCTCTGGGGCAGCTACTGCGTGTTCAGGCAGCTCGAGCTTAAGATCCGGATCAGTTCGGTCAGGACTCGGATGCAAAGGAGGACTCGATCCACGACGCTATAGAGGAACATCGCGGCATGGCACATCGCAATTCAGCACGGCGCAGCACAGCACAGCCTTCGGCACTGTACATCAAGATCGATACTCTCAGCGTCGCATTTGTCCGTCTCCCAATCAGGTGTCTTTGAAAACGTTGCCATGCGTTACATTTCTATATTCCTTCCGGGTTCGTGGGTCGATCATGTTCCCAGAAGAGGCGTCGGCTCAGGGTTCTCTTTGATGGGCTTCCCCCCTGGCCTCGACGGCTGTAGGGCCGGCGACTTTTTAATCTGCGGTAAAGAACGAGGTCGAGAAGGGCGGGCGAATTTCATTCCTTGAAAGGGTGCGGGCCCAGGGTTCTTTTTTAGGAGCTTACCCCCAGAATCGCCTTGAGGTGGGCCGGCGAATTTCTAGTGCGTTAAATAACGAGGAGAGGGTGGGCCGGCGAATTATTTTTGAGGATGTCCCGAGCGAAACGCTTGTGTTGCAGAAATTGTTGAGAATTTCTCCAGCGAGGCGCTTGTCTTGTGTCATATATTGTCCTCTTCTGGGGGCTAGAATTCAGAGGATCTCTCAAGTGAAATGCTTGTTTTCACGTGCCCAGGTCTTGAGGATGTCTCGAGCGAGACGCTTGGTTGCACGCGTCCAGGTTGCCCAGGCAAAGGTCTAGCACGAGGAGTTGTTGAGGATGTCTCGAGCGAGACGCTTGTTTTCACGCGTCCAGGTCGCCCAGGCGGATGTCTAGCATGCGGATGTGTTGAGGAAGTCTCGGTCGAGACGCTTGTTTGCCCGTTTCAAGGTGGCCCAGGCGAATGTCTCGCATGAGGAGGTCTTGAGAATCTTTAGAGCGAAACGTTTGTTTTCACGTGTCCAGGTCGCCCAGGCAGATGTCTACCATGAAGATGTGTTGAGGATGTCTCGAGCGAGACGCTTGTTTTCACGTGTCCAAGTCGCCCAGGCGGATGTCTAGCATGATGAGGTGTTGAGAACGTCTCGAGCGAGACGACTGTTTTCACGTGCCAAGGTCACCCAGGCGGACGTCTAACATGAAGACGTGTTGAGGTTGTTTCGAGCGAGCCACTTGTTTTCACATGTCCAGTTCGCCCAGGCGGCTGTCTAGCATGAGCTTCCTCTTGGCATGTCCCCATGTAAATTAGCCCTGGGGCAGCTACTACGTGCTTAGGCAGCTCGAGCTTAAGATATAGATCAGTTCGGTCAGGACTCGGATGCAAAGGAGGACTCGATCCACGACGCTATAGAGGACAATCGTGGCAACACGGCGCAGCACAGCACAGCCTTCGGCACGGTACATCAAGATCGATACATTCAGCATTGCAACTTGGCACGTTCCGTGGCGCGTCCCGTGGCGAGTCCCCTTGGCACGTCGCGCGGCGTGTCCCCTGGTACGTGCCGTGGCACGTCCATTGGCACGTTCCGTAGCGCGTCCCCTCGGCACGTCCCGCGGTGCGTCTTCGTGGCACGTCTCCTGGCACGTCGCCTGGCGCGTCCCTTGGGACGTTCCGCGGCGCGTCCTCCTGGCATGTTCCCCTGTCAATTAGCTCTGGGGCAGCTACTGCGTGCTCAGGCAGCTTGAGCTTAAGATCCAGATCAGTTCGGTCAGGACTCGGATGCAAAGGAGGACTCGATCCGCAACGCTATAGAGGAACATCGCGGCATGGCACATCGCAATTCAGCACGGCGCAGCACAGCACAGCCTTCGGCACTGTACATCAAGATCGATACTCTCAGCGTCGCATTTGTCCGTCTCCCAATGAGGTGTCGTTCTTTGAACCGTTGCCATGCCTTACATTTCTATATTCCTTTCCGGGTTCGTGGGTCGATCATTTTTTTGTTTGTTTGAATTTCCAGATATTCCAAATCTTCCCAGAGACTACCCAGGTGAAAAACCATGTGTTTCCAGATATTCCAGATATTCCAGATCTTCCCAGAGACTACTCTGAGCTTGCAGCGCACTCCCTGGAAAAATTTGGAATATCTGGAAGATCTGGAAAACACATGGTTTTTCACTTGGGTAGTCTCTGGGAAGATCTGGGATAGCTGGGAAATGTGGAAAACACGTGGTTTTTCACTTGGGTAGTCTCTGGGAAGATCCGGAATATCTGGAACATTTGGAAAACACATACTTTTTCACCTGGGTAGTCTCTGGGAATCCGGGAAAATTGGGAATATTCGGAAAATCTGGAAAGCACAAAGTTTTGGAGAGAGAGAGAGAGAGAGAGAGAGAACGAGAGAGAGAGAGAGAGAGAGAGAAAGAGAGAGAGAGAGAGAGAGTGAGAGAGAGGCAAAGGAAAAGCAGCAGTCGAGGATGAGGAAGCGAAAAGGTATGATGACAGGGGGGGGCGAGTGTATATATATATATATATATATATATATATATATATATATATATTACACATTTGTATCCATCGCCCCTGGCCAGGCGTACCCTGTGCCCTGGATGTGCGTGCCTCCCTGGCCAAGCCAGGGGTGCGTACACGCCAGTCGTGGGTCCCAGCATGTGTCTTTCCAAGGGTGGATTGGTGTGTATAGATCTCGTCGCCCTACGACCTCCGTCCTCCGTCCTCCGTCTTCCGTCCTACATCCTCCGCCCTCCACCCTCCGCCCTCCGTCCCCGTCCGTCTGCTCGTCCGCCTGGCCCTGCCCAGTTCTCTGCCACGAGTCCCTCCCCTCCCGTCGTGCAGGCGCTCCGTCGTGACCTGCCCGGTTCCGGCGATGCGGGGACGACGAAGGCGAAGGTTTCGACGACGATGCGGATGACGATGCCGATGGCGGTGAAGAAGATGCCGACGATGCGTCCGTGCGCATGTCGGTGTCGGGGCCTCGGGTGGAGGGAACGAACACGCGGAAACGTCGGAGTCGACCTCGGTCATCGTCCATCTTTGTCACCGTCGATTCGTGGATCGTCCTTGCGAGTCGGCGACGTCTGGCAATGACCACGACCAAGATCGGCGATGACCAGACCCCGTGACATCTTGGTCATGGTGATCGTGCTCTTCCTTCGAGCGGGCGGGTGGGTGCTTCGTGGAACAAGCAATGACGCAAACATGACAATTCGGATGTTCGTTCGGATTTCTCGGATCGGAGCTGTACCCCCCCCTCCCTGGCGCGCGGAGCGCGCCAGGGGAACCCGGCGCTGATCCGAGGAATCCACGCGGACCCCGACCTCACTTTTTGTGTTGATGTCGTTGTTTTTTCTCCCTGGTGCTCTCGCCGGCGGAGGTCTGGTATCGTCTCTACGTCCTATTCATCCTGCTCCTCCTGTCCACATGGAACCTTGCGACGCGGAGGAGGAATCCACGCTGACCCCGACTTTTTATGTTGATGTCGTTGTTTTTCCCTGGTGCTCTCGCCGCGGAGGTCTGGTATCGTCTCTACGTCCTATTCATCCTGCTCCTCCTGTCCACGTGGAACCTTGCGACGCGGAGCCGCGGCCGCGGCGCCCTCCGCGCGGCCTCCTCTCGGAGGCCGGGAGAGTGGAGGAGCGGAGGCCTCCACGGGCCGCCCGCCGGAGGGGCGCGGGGAGGGTGGCCCCGCACACCCTCCGGCGCCGCGGCACCGGCCCGTGCGAGCAAACGGTGGCACAGACTCGAAGCTGGAGCTCCGCGCGGATTTCTCGGATCGGCGCTGGAGCCTCCAGCGCCGCCCCTGGCGCCGCTCGGGTCGGGCGAAAGGGGGGGATTGGGAAAGGGGGGGTTACGAAATCTGCTGCATGCAGCTGGTTTCGGCCTCTCCGAGGGGCCCATTCCTCGATACATGGCCGCCTCCGGCGCCGGGAGGCGCCGGGAAAATCAGCTACGTGAGCTGATTCTCAAACCCCCCTTTGCTATCCCCCCCTTTCGCCCGACCCGACCCTGGCGCCGCCCCTGGCGCGCTCCGCGCGCCAGGGAGGTGGGCCCAGCACCGATCCAGGAGTCCGCGGGGCTTCCGAGTGGTTCTGTTTGTGTCCTTGCCTGTTCCCCTGCATCTGGCGCCGGAGAGTGGAACACGCCTCCGCGGGGGAGGCGTCTCGGGGGAAACGTCAGGGGGGATAGGCTCACGGGGGGTCGCATCTGCTGATCTGCTATCCGGGGCCTCCCGCCGATCTGTCGGCGATGTGTCGCCGATTCCAGCTTGATGTTTCCCCCCCTGAGCTGGTCCCCCCGCAACTCTTCCCCTCATCAGAGGGGCGCGAATGGTGACCCGCGCTCTCAGCGCTCAGGGGTCATCTGGCCGCATATAGGCACGTCTCCGCGTTGGAGTCTACTCTAGGTTGTCCGCTCCCCACTCTCCCCTAGGACTCGAGAGGTCCCTCAGTGCCTCCAGGCCTCCGTGCGGGTGCCTCCGCGGAGGCCTCCGGTGGCCTCCAGAGGGCCAGCAAAAAACATCGCAAAGCGCCCGAAAGCACGGTCGACACCACCACCACCACCACCATGGGTTTAGCCAGGGGGGATGGGTCCTGAGGGAAACGGGTCTTGCACCCCTGGGGCCTTCCCACAGGACCAGTTCTTCATCCTGAGCCATTCTCTGACAGTCCCGGGGCCCGTGGAGGGCCCCGAGAGCCCGAAAACGGCGAAACACCTCAGGACCCGTTTCCCTCAGGACCCGTTTCCCCCATGGCGAAGGGGTGCGGTGGCCACAGCGTGTGGTGAGTCAGTCGGGATGCGGGGTCACCGGCTGTGGGACTTGATCCGCTCTCCGAGGGTGCCTCGGGCATTTTGGGGCCCTCTGGGGTCCCAGAGCGGTGCGGTGACGGACCGCGCGGTGAGGTCGCAGGGGGCTCCGGCGACCTCACCGCTCGGTCTGTACCGTCACCGCATCGTTTTGGGGCCCCCCATGTTCACGCATCCGCGGGGGAGGCGTCGAGACGGCGGTCGCGCCTCTCGCTTCGGGCGGCGCAACGGCGCGAAGTCGGGTGGAGCACAGTCAGGACCCTGAAACCGCTTTGGGCCCAGCAGGGGCTCTAGTTTTCGGGCACTCCCTCAGATCTGGGCCAGGAAGCCCGTTCGTCGCCGAGGCTCGCCGTGGCCAGAGACGTCACTTCGTTCCTTGTTCGGCATCGTTGTGGTAGCGCGATGCCTGTATAGCGGCAGTTTCCCGGTCGGCCACGAGTTTCCCGCGTCCGCGACGGCGCCGGGGGGCTCCTGGGTCAGGGCGGGCAGCTGTCGGCACGGACTCCACCGCTCTTCCCTGCCCAGGCCAGGCCGAGGCCCCCTCTTCTCTGGGGTTGACTGTGGCGTCCCTTGTCCGTGTCTCTACCCACGGCTCCCGGTGTGGGATCCAACCGCAGGGTCTCAAGTTCTCGCCTCAGCCCTCCTTGCCCTCCTCCTCCTCCTCCTCCTCCTCCTCCTCCTCCTCCTCCTCCTCCTCCTCCTCCTCCTCCTCCTCCCCCTCCCCCTCTTCTTCCTCCTCTTTTTTCTCCTCCCCCTCGTCTTCCTCCTTCTCTTCCTCCGCCCCCTCTTCTTCCACCTCCTTTTCCTCCTCCCCTCCCCTCCTCCTCCTCCTCCTCCTCCTCTTTCACGTCCTCACCTCTTCCTCCTCCCGCTCTTCCTCCCCTCCTCCTCCTCCTCCTCCTCCTCCTCCTCTTCCCTCCTCCTCCTCCTCCTCCTCCTCCTCCTCCTCCACGTTCTCACCCCTTCCTCCTCCCCCTCCTCCACGCCCCCCTCCCTTCCTCTTTCCCTTCGATCTTCTCCCTCCTCCGCGTCCTGCTCCCCCGTGCTTCTGAACGAGTGTCGAAGCCGATTTGCCAAGTGCGGCCACCGCATCAGCCCTGATCTGCTTCCTGGCAAAGGGGGCGCGACCCCCCCAGCGTGTCTGGGGGTTTGCGTGGGTACATCGCCTTTCTCCTGCCCTCATGCTGCGCGTATACGCTATACGCTTGCCTGGTCGTGTGCGGAAAGGCCACCGTCTGAAGCGAGCGAAGACAATGGTTCAGCAGCCACGCTGAAGAAGGTCGAACAGGCGGCGGAGCGGAGAAGGCGTGAGGCGGGCAGGGCGTCCAGGGGGTAGCCATATGCGCTCGCGGTGCCCGTGATCCTCATTTGCCAGCATGCAGCGCCTCGTTCAGGAGCGCGCGCCACAGGCCTGGCGGCTGAGCCCTGCATGGAGAGAGGAGGCCCCGCCGGGCTCCCGGGCGCCGACGCGCTGGAATGCACCCACGCTGCTGCCATGGTTGCCCCAGCCTGCTCTTTCCTTTCCGCCTCTCTCCTCTGCCCAGCGCCAGCTCCTCCTGTGCCGCAATTCGTGTCTGGAGCGCCCCTCGCGATGCTTGACAGGTACTTGCCTTGCTGGCGCCCGCCGACCCCAAACAGTGCCCCAGCCCACGTGTGCGCGCCCACGGTCGGGCATGCTCGGCCGGCCTCGATGCTTCTGCTGCGACCGCCGGGTGGAACCCCCGCCCCCTCGGAAGAGCCCCTTCGCCACGGCCACCAGCTCTCCCCCGCTGCGCTGGGGACGGGGGCGGGCGGAAGGGGTGGGTTTGACACCTCGCGCCCCCCCTGTCTAGACTCAGGCTGGAGGGGGAGAGGGAGGGGCCAAACTCGCAACGGGAGCGCCACCAGCTGTCGCTCACTCCCCCACGCCCTCCCACCATATCTGGGTGCTTGAGACGATCCCGCCAGCGTGCCAGCGAGGCACTCTGAGCGTCGACCCTTCAAGTACCGCCCAGAACGCCGCCGTCACACTTCTTGATGAATCTTGGACCGTCTTGGTATTGTCTTGGTCTGCTGTGGCCCTCTTCGGTCGCCTTGGGGCTCTCTTGCCCCGCGGCCCTCCTGGGCCATCTTTGAAGCAGTTTTGGCTGTCTGGGGCCTTGGTGCTGATACCCCCTGACGCGGCCGTGGGTTGCATTTCGGCGCCTCGAGTTCCAGCATGACTGGATCCACGCCCCCTTCTCCGCCAGGCAAGGCTTCTGGGTCACGGACCCCGGGCCGGAGGAGGGGCTGCTGCTGGCGTCGGTGTACCTCCACACGAGCCGCGCACTCGACGACGTCAACCTGGACATTCTGTTCGGGATAGGCGCCGTGCTGCGGGCCGCGGACAGGCCCTTCATCGTCGGCGGAGACTGGCAGATGCTCCCGTCCACCTTGGGCCAGTCCTACTGGCCGCAGGCTGTTCGGGGAGTGGTCCAGGCGGCGTCGGAGCTCGATGCCACTTGCATCACCAGCAAGAGCGCGAGGGTCATCGATTTTTTCGTGACGAGTCGGTACCTCGCAGGCGGGAAGGTGCGGGTGATAGACGACCTGTCGGTGGCCACGCACAAGGGGGTGGTGTACGAGCTGGACGTGCCCTCCCTGCCCCTCACCGTGCAGACGATGCACATGGCCAAGCCCTTCCCCGCCAACGCGGTGATCGGCCCCCATCGGCCTCCCCCCGATTACAGGGCCCTGGTGGAGAGAGGCCGGGACGAGCGGGTGGCGGCCCAGCGGCGTCGCAGCACGGCCGACGATCGGTGTTAGCTGGACGCTAAGTTCCAGGCATGGCTACGCTTGTATGAGGACGAGCTCGTGGAGTATTACGGCCTTCCGGATGAGGACGATAAGTACCGTGGGCGCGAGCATGGAGTGAAGTACGTGACGACGACGCTGGACATGCACAAGCGGCAGCAGGCGAGGTACAGTGGTGCGCCCAGCCCCGCGGACAGCCATTGGCAATGGCTCGCGGACCGTGTGCGCGAGTGGCGGCACCGCCGGGCAGCGCGAGGCGGAGTGCATGGACTGCGACGGCTTCGCGCGCTGCATGTTAGGCTGCTGCGTTTCAGGCCGCGTCCAACGCGACCTCGAGGCCCGAGATGTGGGCGGCCTGGCGCGAGCTGGTCCGCAAGCTGGATTCCGCCAGCGAGCAGGACCTGGACCACCTCGAGGCCGACCTCCGAACCTGCGCCCGCTGGGCTGCAGACAAGGCCGCGTACCGACGGTATCGAAATTGGATCGAGTGGTCGAGGGATGCGACCAGGCAGGACGGCATGAGACAGGCGTTCAAGTGGTGGAAGCAGGAGGCGCCGTGGTCGCTGGCATCGCCTGCTGCGGCGCCAGGGGCAGTGCTGTCTATCCGGGACGAGGCACGGGCCGCCATCGAGCCCTGGCACCGCCTGTGGGCGACAGGGCCAGGCCTGGAGGCCATCGAGTGGCAGGAGTCGGACTTCGACGGCGTGACGGTGGCGCTCCCGTCCGTGGACGAGGTGCGGCGCGTGTCACACACTTTCTCGGGCCTCACGGGCCTTGGCTGCGACGTGGTGCTCCCGAGGCATTTCGCGCTGCTGAGCGACCAGGCCATCCTCGCCCTCATCTGCCTCTGGGAGTGCATGATCGGCATGGGCCACGTCCCCAAGGCGATCGCCCTGATGCGCGAGGCCCTCCTGCCCAAGCCCGAGGGTGGTCGGCGCGCGATCGGCATCTTCCCTGGCACGGTGCGGCCGCTGACCCGGTGGCTGCGGCACACGGAGGGC